TTGTTTCCATTGTTGTTGTCTTAAGTTTTAATTATGCATTAAAATTCACTGATGCGCTAAAAGTTCACTACAAAATCCTCAACGAAGAAATCCCTCAAAAAGTGAGGGAAGAAGATCTGAGGGGAATGAGCCTCCTTACAATATCCCTTATTACTCGGCAAACCATCAACATCCGGATTTGCCGTATCCAGCTCCTGACAAAACTGTTTTGATTTTCGTCACCTAGCTTCTTATACGTTGTAAGAAAAAAAAAAACTCTCGGGTGCTTCCACACAGCACTAGGCACGCTTATAAAGTAAAAATTTCCTGGCAAAAATCCCGAATCCATTGAATTTCAATGGAAACTTCAAAAAAGCCAATCGCTGGATACGCCAAATGTATGTGATTTATAGTTCTGAAAAGTTTACCGAAATCGTCAAACTGTTGTCAGGTATCATTCAGCGGTTTTGTCATACTCAGCAGCTTATTTCGGAAAAATTTTTTCCGTTCTGGTTCCGGAATACATCCAGAAATACCGTATTCGCTAACATGTTTACCAAAGTAGAACAAATGATCGTGAATATTGTAATGACGGTAAATACTATTGCTGAAATGAGTCCAGAATATCACTCAAAATTTTCATTTTAAAAAAAAAAAGTTTAGAGAGCGGATTTCGCTTTTAGTAGTTATTGTTTAGCCCGCTGACAACCGATAGACTTTACTTGTTAGTGAGTGGTACTTGCAAGAGAATGTGGCGCACATACATCGAATAGGCGGAGGGTACTAACTGGAGGTGGAACTTGCCGTTGGTCATTAAAAAAATTGAGCATATTCTTACAGAACACTACCGAACAAATTTTTATGGGAAAATCAAGAGAATATCCGTTGCCCTCCTACCGAAATGCTCAGATAGTATTCGATATGTTCAATTAAGGCAAAAAAGTGCAATGGATCAGGTTGAATTTAAATCGAGAGCGATAGATCCCAGGACCATTGAGTAAGAAATATGTTAATAATAAAAGGGGCATCTAAAAACCACAGAAAAAAAAATCAAAAATCTACCTGCAGGTCTGGTCTTCATTTCGTGGTTTGTCCAGGCAAATCCTATACAACGAGGTTTCAGTCATATTTTGTGGATACCAAATTTCGATGCCATGATGATAGGGCCCGAAGTTGAATCGTGAAATACACGCAAATGTTCGAACGTTCACCAAACAGTTCGGAAGGTGCGGAATCTGAATGAACTAATGCAGCCACTTTTTTTTTGGTTGACTCAACAAAAATTGTTCGCCTTGCTTAGCCTTATTAAGAAAAGCTTCAGCATGCAGAAAGTAAGGAAAAAATTAAGTTTGGATAGAAAAAATTCCGAAAAATGCGTGAACCTCGAATATGGTACTCGAGATCGTTTCTAGGCTCGCTGGATTGAGGAAAAAAGGGAGAAGAGAGGAAAAACTGACTCGGATTGCTAACTTTTAGCAACTATTTTGATTTGCAACAAAATGTAGAAAAAACGAAACACTAAATTTCTTGGGAACAGTGTTAATAATAATAAAAAACTTTTGATAACGAGTGTTTAACCTAAAACCACCACAGTTAGAAATTTAATGTTTTAGACAAGAAATTTACGATCGTGTAAAACGAAAAGTAAAATAACGAACTTTAAAATTAGTCCTGAATGCTAATGTTTGGAACTGGGCTCAAACAGCCATTTGCCTGCTGCTGACCTTTGACCTTAGGTTGAAAATCAAACAAAATTTCAGCAAGAAATCCGAAAAATTTCAATAATAAGTGCGTAAAATTATAAAATACAATCGAAATTATTTAACAAAGACAGAACACTTTTTTTTTTCGAAATAATGAGCACACCAGATCTCCTTGGTGTACAATGCGAAAACTGTTCGGTACCAGTGCATCATGAGCAAAAGCAAAATTTCGATTTCCCGTTCGTGGTTCACCGAATGTTACAAGACGAATGTCCACATCAATCCCCTTCCTATAGCAAAAATATGCAAATTTCGTGCTGGCCAATGATGCAAGCGCACCGCCAAGCGAATGACCAGTGAAAAGCACTGGTCGTGTTACATTTCCCTGTAAAATATGAAAAATAATGCCTGCACTTGAAAAAATTACTACATAACATCATTTGGTCCTTCATCTATGGAACTACACAATTTTTCTAACTGCTTTTGGTGGACAGTCTAGTGGCGATATTTTAAACGGTTACAATCTTACTGGTTCTTCCAACAGAAGCACTTGGCAAGGTTTCACATTTTGATTTTTTTGGACCGTTCACTTCTTTTAAGGTTACAATTCCGGCCGCCTGGCGGCCGCATTTTATCATTTCAACAACTTCCGGATGCCCCTAACATTTCCATTTCTCGACCACTATAAGGTATTCTACCAACTCAGAAAATCCCAAAAAAAAAATTTGTTGGTTTAAATCTTAAAATATGGTTGATACCGGCAATACACACTCACTCTGGTTAATTTACGCAAAGTGTGCCACATATCACGCCATACGGACGCGAATGCTGAATTGAAATATCGTTGCACGGAGCCACCGCCAATGAATTTTGCTTTTGGTTCTGTCATGCTGGCCAGGATTTCAGCAGTTAGTTGCAGTTTGGAGCGTGTTCCACGAAACGCGACAACAATGTAATTCGGTGATTCCGAGATGTAATACCAACACTAAAATAGCACAAGGAACTGACCAAATGTTTGTACTGACCAGTGTGCATGAACATATAAATCCAGGGGAGCGAAATTTCAAGATCTTCTGCTTTCTCCGTTCTCGTAACAACAGCAGTGATGAGATGGCTATTGGAACAGAAAAGAGATATTTGGGGGGTGTTTGTTCGGGATTATTATATGTGGACAATCAACAGTGATTTACTCAACTTTTTATAACAAGCATATGTTAAACCATAAATTAAACACAGTCTTGAACGGGAAGAGTGTTAAAAATGAAGCAAGCAGATTTTGTCTCGCTAAATAATAAATGCAAAAATCCTCGCACCTTATCATGGAAATGATCACACAGTACGGTATCCTGACGAACGATCGATGTGTCGCCATACTTTGCAATGCATTTCAATGGATTTGTTGAGTAAGCAGCAGCTGCATGTTCGAATGCAAAACGAGCAAATGCCGGATCGTAGTCCGACAGAGCAGCAAATGCAGTTTGTAATGAGAATGCAAATAAAACAGCTACTGCTGCTGCTACTGCTGGTGTTTCTGCTGCTGACTGTAGTCGTAACATTGCTTCGAAGCTGGTCCCGGTACTGTGAAGATTCAACTGGACAATGCGAAAATACTTTTGAGATTTTTACAAAAAAAGTTTATTTTTAAAAAGTCTTAAAGCCAACAGCAGCAGCAGGAGGATAAGCACAGCACTCGACGCAGCAGCAGCAGCAATTAAAAACTGAAAAAGTTGCCGGTTATACACGGTTGAAGGACCAGACTATGAACTGACAAAGCTGAAAACATAGACGGATCCAGGACGGACTTCTGGAGGGACACGAGAGAGCTCCGCCCCTCCCCCCCCCCTCCCCTCGATTGGGAATTATGCAAAAACTAGGGATAGAGTTGTAACAATGCTACTTAGAGCTACTTTAGTTTAGAGTTATGTTAGGCTTTAGTTTTAGCTTTAGACCCGGGATTTTGTGGCACTGATACCTGTACCCCCGTGCACCCCTCTGTCCCTCTCCGGACCCGCCTACGGCTGAACCAAGCATTCCAAGTACACATAAGCTGCTTATAAACTGGCAGACACAATGCGCTTTTAGTAAACGATACTCGCTCAAGAAAATGAATGACTGCTTGTGCAACGGCTTTGGAGAAGTTGCGCTAGGCAATTCAGCACGGGTCACAAAACAAACAAGCCCAATGATTGATGGGTATTAACTAGAGGTATGCAGTTCAGAATCAAAGAGCGTCAGCGAGCTGAATCCGTCGAGCGCATCTCAGTAACATCACTAACATGGGATACCCACACGCTGATAGCTCTCACTGGAGTTCAGAGATGTACTACTGCTGGTGACATCCATGAATGCTCGAACCCGAAATTTAAAATTTTTATGTGAAATTTCAGAAAAAAGCACAATCTACCAAGTTTTTCCCTCAAAAAATTCGCTAGAACGCAAAAGATGCGTTTCTTTAGGCCCTCAAAAACATTTCTTCCTTATCTAGGTCCTCGGTTTTCGCGAAATATATGCGCTGAGATACTCACGAAAGATCTGTAGAACTGTATATTAAGCAAGGCAAACATTTGGAAGCCAGTGAAGGAAAGAATGACGAACCTCCGGGAAGCTGATGTGTTATTAGCGAGTAGTAGAAAGAAGGAAGAAAGTGTAAGAAACTGATAGCGTTCATGTTCGAAGAAACAAAGATCGCCGAGCGTAGCCTGTCTGACTTTGCTTCTATCAGTTCTGATAAAA